AGTAAGTGATACATGTACTGGAGTAAATGTTTTCTTTATTTAAAAATTCCTAGAGTGCATTTATTTTGATACGTGGGGCTGGGTTGAGCACACATTCTTTTAAGTTTGGGCGAGCAGTCACGCGTGCTTTAAACTCTTTAATCGATTTGGAACTTTTCTTCGTATGCCACACAAACACCTGATTTTACAATCATGAACAGAATATAAGAATTCGCAGAGTGTGCATGTGAACAATACCGAGAATTCAGGATTTGCTATTTTAGTGAGGATTGCAGCAATCCTCGTCCCTCACATTTTATTTCTTCAGTTTTGGGGTGGAGGTCTGCAGAGTAGCAGAGTGGGTGGACAATTTTCTCTGTGAGCCCTCGTTAGAGCGGCCGTTTTAGTTGCCGAACTGTGATTCGTCATGTTATAATTTCGCCGTTCCTGCACGGATGTATCCGTGAAACCTCCAGTAAAGTTCGTCGCTGCTGCAGAGACCATGCAGTAGGCTGCTGCCAAGCGCCTGTGGTTCTTCTACTGGGAGTTTGCACATGGACGAGGCAGAGCTGCGTCAGACTTCCCAACAGCGTCAGACTTTAGGACACACAGTGACTCGTAGCCTGAGCACTGTGTGAGTTTTTCTCCGGGCTGGGGTCGTCGGACTTTGTTTGTACCGGTTGTGTGAACCAACGACGATACTAAAGCAGAGCGCACCAAGGGGGCCAACCATTTTTCTACACCGGTGTTTCATCACATATCGCGTACTTTTTGAAGGAGAGCAATCTACGGGGACAACCATCAGAGTAGTCGGACATTTGGTCTTTCTTCCTCGACGAGAGAACTGATATATTTTTGTCAGACCAGTGGGTCTTTGACCCTATTTTGTCTGGGCTGCTCGCCCCTTATAACCATTCAGTTTTCAACCATTCTATAATGTAATGTCATAACACAACTGGGTAATGTACTTTTGTAAATTGCAATATTTTGTTTTCATAATATTTTTCATTAAATTTAATTGAACTTACTTGCTGCTTGTTCTTGTGCATGTCTGTTTGACTACTTTGGTTACCCTTATTTTCCAGGGCGTGGGTTATTTTTAATATCTGTTGCTTTTAGAAATTTGAATCGTAACAAATCCATAAAGTCATCATCATGACAATAATTGAATTCCCGGTACATTAATGTCTGGCCTGTTGCAATTTATTTTCTTATTCACTTTTTATAAGAACTTTTCAGCCATTAGTGGTGCAATTTGACATCTTAAACTAAAAAAGAACTTGACTTTGTGAAGTTGTCACTTTATTTCATCAAACCAACCAAAATTGGTGAAAAACCTGATCGGTGTAGACGTGTAGTGCGTATACGCTGTACGGACTTTCCCTAAAGGAATTGCCCTATTCAGGGATTTTCTCTCTCAGCCACTGTTTTCCGATGACCAGGCCAGCAAAATTAAGGTGATCTTGCAGGATTTTGTGCTATATAGTTTTTATTCCTAAGTAGTCAATCTGTCATTTTATGAAGGAAAATGTACAAAATACCCCAGCCGTTGGTGGCCCATTGACAAAATGTGCCAACTTTGATTTTGTTTATGTTTTTCTTAATTTTGCGATACATGTATACAAAATATATGCCTATGCTTCTAAACAGACCCGTTGCTATGGGTTTCAAAATGAAATATACATTAAAGCTACATTCCATCATTTGCAGCTATCAAAAAAGTGACTGAGGTAATTATTGTTGAAAAACACACTTGGTTGAAAGATAGCAGGGGATTAAACTCCCTGTGAAATTATTCTTTCTTGCATGCTGTCATTTTGAAGAAATCAACGAAAGAAGGCCTTTCAAACGGTGCTTGTTAAGACGCACCATTGGAAATTTCCTTTAATAGTTCAGTTTTTTTATTTGGTGAAGCGGGCGCAAGTATTGACATGACGTGTATGCGTGCGCGCCCTCTATAATTCGTCGGATCAGTGCGCGACATCGCGTAGCTGCATTCAGTCCAGTAAGAACATGTCTTGGATGCTGAATTCAGGCCCAATTCAAAACATGATTCAGCAAGTTTTGATTTGAAATCGAGATCCTAGAATGTTGTTTTTCTCGGAAAATACAGCTGAAGCTGAGCTGAAACTTCATCAGGTAAGTTGTTTAGATTTCGAGAACGTTTGTTGCTTCAAACGAACAAATTGCACAAATTACAAATGATGGACTATACCTTTAACTGAAAGAGTAATAAAGTGGCTTCAAGGGAAATAGGATATTAAAAAAAAACAAGTCACGGTTCTTGGCGCAACAAATCTTTATAAATTTTGTCGCCAATTTAAAATTTGCCATAATTGAATAAAGAGGTTGGGTTATTAAATGTCAATTTCAAAGTTTTCGGGAGGGGGGGGGGGAGGGGTATATATCCCCCCCACTTTTTGACCAGGGAGGATGGGCCATTGGATCATCCCCCCATTTTCGTGTTGAGAAACCAACAAAAAGCAGATTTTGAGGTAATTTTCGAACTTCTTAACAAGCAAAATGTATTTAACAGTACTGAAAAAGAGAAAATAAGTACAAAAGTTTTAAATGCGCCGTTTTCATGCAAGATTAAGGGGCAAAATATACATAAAATGTTCGTCTGTATCATGAACAGCGCCCCCTAGTGTTGTGGTGTTCAGCAAGCCTAGAACCCCCCCCCCCTTTGAATTTCCACAGCTGGGAAATTTTGTGATTTTAGTCATACCACATTTTCCCAAGTCGATCCCCGGCACAGATTTACGCCACTGCAATTGGGGGTTGGAAAACAATTATGTAAACCCTCCATTCCGACTCGTCCCGAAAGTGATCTATAACACTCGAGCAGCAATACGCAGCAACGACATTGATCGCACCATGTTGGCCAGCACAAATCTGGTATCGAACACCTCTAGAAATGTCAACTGCACCACCCATATTCCTCCCAATAAAACGGATTGTGCGGTCGGTAGCAGTAAAACCAGAACCACTAAAGAATGCCCACTGGCAACTAATGGCTTGAGTGTCTGGAGCAGTCACTTAAACTGTTGCACTGGTCACCAAGGGCCAGCTCACAATACATACTCAGTAGTCATCTGGGCGCCCACTGCTCTGCATGTACCTGACCGCCAGTTACAGAGACTTCACAACTTTTGTGTGGAAAGACAATTACAGTATCCATCATAGGACACTGCCACATTAGCAGAGTTTCTGTGCTTAGTGGCGGGCTTGTCCCCTAAGCCACGATCAGTTTTGCGTAGCACCATGGCCGCAATGACGGCCCTTTATCAAGCATCCCCAGGCAAGAACCATCCGACAAACTCTCTGGAACTTTATAGACTGATTATTGTTCTTGAAAAGAGTTGTACCACTGCTCCAATGACACGCTCATCTGTCATGCCAATACAGCCTTTTGTCAGTCTCTTCCAATCTTGAGGTGACAATGAGGGACTGGACTTGAAGCGTCTACGCTTGAAAGCGATAACGCTGTTGACACTCGCAGTTATGGCACGGCTATCTGACCTTGCACCTAAGGGGTGTACTGTTCAACGAAAATGGGCCTAGCGAGCCTATGGTTATGCGCAAAAGTCAGCTTATTCTCGACGAGAACGGAACACTGTCGATCCAGTTTTTCGGCAAAAGAATGACATTCACCGGAAAGGCTTCTCAGTTACCATCCCAGCAGCGGACAATCAGTGGGTGGACCCTGTCTTTTGCCTGCACACTAACATCCACAAATCCCACAGCCATTGGCTGTTAGTTAATGACCCACTGTTTGTCACTCTTTAGAGACCATATGGAGCATTGTCAGCTGGTTTAATTGCAGATCAGCTTAATTCAGCTATAGGTCTGGCTGGACTTGGGGGTCGGGGTTTCAGTGCAAAATCCTTCCGACTCACAGCAGCTACAGTTGCAATTGACACAGGCTTTGATCCTCTTGATCTAGCCACGAAAATTGGATGCTGGGATTGCCCAGCAGTTTTCTTTGACCACTATGTTCACTCCAACACTCCACAAAACTTTCTTAAGAACTTGTTTGATCATGAGCAGTGTAGCATACATGTACTTGTTTTGTTTTTTTAACATGTTACTGGGTGCATAACAGACACTTGGCTTACTGTTTTCTACTGCCAATATTTGGAATTGACGTGCTAATATTTACCAATTTTCTTGGTGTTCTGGATAAACATTGTCTCTCCTATTATGGCATTTCACTAAAGTTAGATATGTTAATTCTTTAATGTTCAGTGTTTTTGCTGTTCCATGAGTAATGTATGTTTGCTTAAAACAGTATATACAAACAAACAGTGCCCCCACACTGTGGGCTTGGATGTCATGACCTATGCCCCGTTTATTATTCAGGTCATGACATCCGGGGTCTTGTGTTCTATCGGTTAAGCATTGTACACTGTGGATAAATGCGTGATTGTACAGGATATGGCATTTCATTAAGTTAGAAATGTTAATTCTGTAGCCCTAACAGTCCTGAATCCTCCAATTTTAATACGATTTTGCACACCCCAGTTTTTGCTGTTCCACAAGTAATATGTTTGCTTAAAAGTATCACTTTGTTTAGGAGACCTATCTGATTGGTATTCCACATATTCCACATGTACAAGGGAAAATGTTGGGATGCAGGTTATGTTTCTGCCATGTTTTAAAGTGGCCAACCAAAATTGCTTTTCCCCTGTAGTTGAAAAGCATCTCAATACCCGGGTAGCATAACCAATGCTAAGCCATCAAATCAGTATTGTTGGCTGCAGCCCTGTGTTGATGGTTCACCATTTAGTGAATGCCTTTGTTTAAGGGGCGCTGGTCAGAATTTAAGCTACAAACCTGTTTTAGTAGTGTAAAGTAGTCAGGGATTGCGCTGTATTAAGGGATCACGATGCTAGCAACATTAGCAGTGCTGCAAACCTGGGCAATGGTGAACAGGGATCACTCAGAAATTATATGGCTTTTTAATGACAAATTATTCAAAGAAACCAAATGGCTTTTGTTTATTTTTTTGTCATACCCAGCATCAAACATGTCAGCCAGAGGAGGATTAAGACAGACATTCATAAACTTTTCTGCAGCAAAGCAGAGACATGTTCACAGTAAAGCTTCACAGAAGACAATGCAACGTGGTCGGGAGCTTATGAATTTGATCGAGCTTGATGTGTCTACTTGCACCTTATTTGAAATGCCTCCTGTGAAGGTGTATGAAGTGTACATCAAAAGTTATGGACGGTCAGACACAAAACAAGTAAGTATATGTTTCACATTTGCTGCTAAAAAAACGCTCAGTATTGATAACTTGATTCAAATGCTGCATTCAACAAGTTCTCCCAAACTCTGGATTTCACCCGGAGGCTCCCATAATTTTGGCCAATCTTCACAATCTACAAGCAAATGTCGAAATATGTTGGTAAAAATCAAGCAATTCTCTATGATTTAATGTTGGATATCTACTTTCAAGATGTTTTTTTTGTGCTCATTTGTTGGATACAATATTACATAAATCATGACGTTTTTAGCTTTAGATGTTACATTTTAAGGGATTTGTAGTTTTAATTATGATAAAAATGTTCATTTTATTAAAATGAACTTTTAAATAAAATTTAATTCTAAAGTTGAACAAGACAAAATAGATTGACGGAGGTTTGAACCTGTGACCTCTGGATTGCCTTTCAAGTGCTCTAGCAACTCTACATGTATGTTGGCAATTTCCCAATTTGTTCATGTCTTTGTTCAAGGGGCGCCATTTGCCAGAGATGACGCCCCAAAACAAGTAAAAGTTCCTCATTACTCTATACACAAGTCTCATTACAAGGTTTAGCTGAACTGAATGGTGACACAATCACGTGGTTGGAGACAATCGCTAGTGAAGATTCAAACGATCGACGACGATAAACAGCCCGGCTTGATTGAACATTAGGCTTCGTTGATAAAGTTCAAACCTTGTAAATTGTTTCCCCAAAGAGGGCATGAGTGTACAGACTGACAGAAATGCACAAATAGTTCCAAGCGCTAAGTTTTTTTTCTCAGACGATATGCACTAGACTCGTGCAGTATTAGATTTACACACTTCACGTTGTACCATGAACCCCCCCCCCAAAAAAAAAATAACCAATAAACCGGGTATCGGGTATTATGAGATTTTGTCACAATGCATGTATTTTGACAAAATTCTTTATACTTGGCAAGCACAGGTCTGCGGCTTCTCATGGTTTAAGTTAGTTTATTTTACAAGTTACATTGTCCTGTGTATAGTGAATTATGCTGTCTCCAACTGCTTTCATAACTGTTGGCATAGTTGCTCTGTTTTTACACTCAATCTGATCAATTTGTTTTTGAGCAAGCTGGATCAATTTGATTTTGAGCAAGCTGGATTAATTTGTCTGTGAAACAGCAGGAGTGTTTTTAGTGGTTCAGTTTCAGGATTTGTGGAATTATAACCTTGGATGTCTCCAATTCCCAAGTCCAGTGGAATTAATTGGCAATCATCAATTGAGTGGATTGATAATCTTGGAACTTTGACCTTGGATATATATTTGGCCATCTCAGATTTCTTCAAACTCAATGGAATTATTTGACAGTTAGGAGCTCATTAGCCCAAGGACATGGCCAAAGTCATCATCAGCATGTCCTCCTACTGTTCTTCAGCCAGTTTGTGGGCACTTCACTTTCTGTCAATTACCCCAGTGCCTGCAGCAGGCCCAGCTTCAGTGCCAGTGATGGACCCATCTAGAAAAGTCTCAGAAATACATACGATGCTTAGAAAATGTGGGTCGATCCCAGTCAGCCTCCATCATACATGGGACAAGTTAATGTTGCCTCAGCATGTTCAGGCCTGTGCCACAACGTCAATGATGGTGGAATTCAAGGTGAGATAATTCCAATAAGAGGCCTAGCCAGTGTTTGAGGAAAGTCTGTTTAGTGCCACTGGGTTATAAAATATAGAATTACTGATATTTACTTTCCGTAAGAGTGTAGTTTGGACCCTGTCCCTATGATTTGGCTTTAAGCTTGGCCTAGGCAGCAACTTGTAAATAAATACTGTGCAGTAACTCGCAGTGTTAGGCCCCCTGCATAAGCTTAAGCTAAAACAGGTTCATGCAAAGTAACATAGACCTGTGGATATACATGTACATGTAATCTGTGGATAGACTTTGCAGGGCTGCAGACCTGTATGTTTGGGACATTCATGCCCATTGGGTGTGATAGAAGTAGGCGGGTCATAATGCCATTCAGTGCATGGGCGTCGCAAGGATTTTGTCTAGAGGGGGACAAAACATATTTCCCCCAAAAAATCTTGTATTTTTCAACAAATTCTCGATTTATCAGTTTTAGAGGGGGGGCAGGGACATTTTGCCCCCCCCCCCTCATTAAATTTACACCACTATGACTTCGCGCCTCTTTTTCTTTCTTTCTTTTCTCATTTTTGTTCTTCCTTTTTTGTGTGTTGCTTTTCCAGGGGGGGGGGGGGCAAGCGCCCCCCCCCCCCCCTTGCCCCCTGCCTCGTGACGCCCATGATTCGGTGGTCTACTTGCTTTTGTTACGCATACACCTACCCATACCAAATTAGTAGAGAATAGAATGACACTTCCCTGTTTCCTCTCATTTCAAAGTGGAATCACGGTAACAGGTGCAATTTGTTCACATAATGTGGAACACTTCTCATGTCAATTTAGATGTCAATTAAGTTATATCGACTTTTAAAATTCAAAATTTTTGTTAAAAAATCAGTAATTATTTTTCATATTTAGTGCACATGACTTGTCAGTAGCCTTTGCATTCGCTAGCCATATTCTTGTCCTGATGGAGGACACCCAGTTGCTGTATGGCAGCTTGGAGCTGTATATTCCCCAGGGAGCTGAGATAGTATTTGGAATGTTTCATGGGCCCAAATGAGCAGGGGTAATAATGATGTAGTGCTCAGATATGTGTACTTTATAAATACCCACTATTATTATTATTATTATTATTATTATTACCCCAAATTGGTTGGATATTTTACACGTGTTTTCTGCTTTGAGACAATAGCTCAGGCATTTCATTAACAAGTGATTTTAATTCGGGCGATTCCATATACATAGTGACACCTAGAGGTTGCTACGGAGAGTCGGTTTTTGCCGTGCATTGTGGGAGACGGTTGACAAAAATATGCGCGATGCGGGTGGGACACTTAAAAAATCGAGCAAGTCCGGTCAGCAGTGAGTACCGCGCCAGTAGTGTCGCTAGCTTGTGATTCGATTATTTTCATTTTGTAAAGACAAAATGAACCTGGTATCCCGCTCCATTGCACGGCGCACTGATTTTACGCAGTGAAGTCTAACGTCACTGGTCCCCATGCATATGGTGCTCTGATGGACGTATACACAATACAGTCGACTCCCGTTATAACGAGCTCGGTCATAACGATAACCCGGATGTAACGAGCACATTCTCCCAGTCCCGATCAATTTGTGTACATTACTATGGGAAAATATTTGGTTATTACGTGCACGGACATAACAAGATTTTGGCTATTACGACGATTTTGGCCGACCCAATGCGAGGAAAAGCATTGTTCTCAACCCATTTACAACGACATCTTTTCAAAACTACGGCCATCGCAGCTTGTCAACGACAGACCTTTTGTCCCGAAACGGGTATCATGCTCCTGTCTTCCAATTCAAGCAACACACTTAAGCTTCACCCATAAATGTACCTTTGTAATGACTTCAACCCAACGTTATTTCATCTCGCCGATCTTTATAAATAAATTCAATGGGACTGTGATAATCGGCGCAGTGGACCGCTGGTCTAGTCGCTAATCCCCCGCTGCGGTTTCCCTTAGCATGACCAGGGTTTGAAGTTTGCTTTATGACTGTGGTACCACGTTTCTAGATTATTACAAACGGACAATAGGGGGCGCTCAGGAGATAAGTGTTGACATTGTAAGGAATAGGCTTTAGTACTGCCACCCGAACATCGCGTGCGTAATTGCTCCTTATTGTTGGCTTGTGTCTATTAAAAAATACGTAAAAGAAAGAAAAGCACCATATCTTTTGTTATTGCGTGTCAATCAATCTGGGCCAACTGGGAATATAAGGAGGGGGATTTTTTCCCGAGAGGCCATACGTTTATCGTACTCCATCGAGACAACTGTCAAGATTTTTACTGCAATGGCTTCAATCAAGAACAAGCGAAAGGGACATTCCATCGAGACCAAGATGGAAATCATCAGGGCTGTCGATGCCGGACGCAAGAAAGCTGATGTTGCGCGCCAGTATGGTATCGTTTCTAGTACCCTGGCAACCATCATGAAGAACAGAGAAAACATCACGTCAAACTTTGAGTCTTCAAAGTTTGAACCTTCGCGGAAGAGATTTCACACTGCTACGTTCGAAGATGTCGAGGAGGCCCTTCTCCGTTGGTTTCGTGGGACCCGAGCCAAGAATCTTCCCGTCAACGGCCCAATGCTGCGAGAGAAAGCTGATCAGCTGTCCCAGATGATGGGGCACGGAGCATTCCAAGCAAGTTCTGGGTGGCTATCCCGCTTCAAGGAGCGCCACGGCATTATGCATAAGCAGATCTGTGGGGAGAGCAACAGCGTCGACCAGGTCACCGTCACGGACTGGTTGAAAGAAACACTTCCCTGCATTTTGCATGGGTTCGCACCGAGAGACATCTTCAACGCCGATGAGACTGGCCTGTTTTATCGACTCACCCCCGATAAAACTATGGCTTTCAAGGGAGAGCAATGCCATGGCGGTAAGCAGAGCAAGGAGCGCATCACCGTCATGCTTTGTGCTAACATGGATGGCACAGAGAAGCTGAAACCCCTCCTCATCGGAAAATTCAAGAAACCTCACTGCTTCAAGAACGTGACATATCTACCAGTCAGCTACCGTGCCAACCGCAAGGCGTGGATGGTATCTGATCTATTCACTGAGTGGGTTCGCCGTCTAGACAAGAAGTTCACCAGGCAGAAACGGAAAGTTCTTCTTTTCGTAGACAACTGCGCAGCCCATCCTAAAGTCCCCCACCTGAACTCCATCACTCTTCAGTTCCTGCCACCGAACACTACATCACAGCTCCAGCCTATGGACCAAGGTGTGATAATGAACATGAAGGTTCGTTACCGTCGCAAGCTGCTACAGAGTCTTCTCAATGCCTACGACGCCGGGGAAACACCTCAGCCCATCAACGTCTTGCAGGCCATCAATATGGTTCACACAGCGTGGGGAGCCGTCAAGCAAGATTGTATCGCCAACTGCT